CCACACTCGCAGCCGGACACCGGCCCGGGCAGCGCGGAGGCAGCCCCGGGGCAGGGCCCGACCCGAGCCGCGCCGGACCCAGAGGTGGGTACAGGGGAGCCGGGACCCCCACCCCCAGCTCCCGGGGTGAGGCTGGGTTCCTCCCCCCGCAACCATTGCACCCCCGATTTGTTTGTTGGGCCAGTTCCAGGGCTTGAACTCCGCAGCTCCCTCTCGGTCAGCTTTTTCTTGCTCTCTCGCCGCCGGGCACTTCACTACTTGAGCCACGCCCACGGCCCGGCATTTTGCTGCTTCATGGGTGATTTTTCTTTTCATTTTCCTGCCCGGGTTGGCTTCAAATCTCTGTCCTCCCGATCTCAGCTTCCTGAGTAGTTAGAATTACAGTTTAACATAACACCAGCTCCTGGCTGAGGAGCTCACTTGAGGGGCGCTGGCCATCAAGGTGCGACTGCACCCGGGAGGGGCTGGGGACAGTTCCATCTCCTGGCTTCTAGGAAGGAAAAGCAAGAGAAGGGGGGGAGAGCCCTGATCTAGAGTCCTAGGGGACAGCTGCCTAGGATCAGTGAGTGGCTGGGTCTTCTGGAGACTGAGGCTGCTGGCCAGACCTGGCTGGCCCCCTCTGGAGGCCCCAGACCTCACCCCTGGGTGGCTCCCTTGCAGCTTCCTAGGTGGCAGATTGCCCGGGCCCGGGTCATGCGCTGCTCCAAGTGCCTACTCTGCCTGTCAGCGCTGCTTACGCTCCTGGGCCTCAAAGTGTACATCGAGTGGACGTCAGAGCCCCGGCTCGGCAAGGCCTACCCAGGATCCCGGGACACCCTGCCTGGCCCCACAGCCAGCACTGAGCCCACCCTGCCTGCCAACCTCTCCGTCCGCCTGGGCCAGACCTACCCACTGCCCGCCACTTACTGGAACCAGCAGCAGTGGCAGTTGGGGGTGCTGCCCAGTGAGGATTGCCAGGCTTGGGGGGCTGCGGCGGCAGCCGAGATCCTCGACTTTGCCAGCTACCCCAAGGATTTGCACCGCTTCTTGCTGTCAGCAGCCTGCAGGAGCTTCCCACGGTGGCTGCCCGCTGGGGAAGCCAGCCCCGTGGCAGGCTGCTCTGCCACCGATGTCCCCTACCTGCTGTTGGCGGTGAAGTCAGAACCAGGGCGTTTTGCAGAACGACAGGCAGTGAGGGAGACCTGGGGCAGTGCAGCTCCTGGGGTCCGGCTTCTCTTCCTGCTGGGGTCCCCACTGGGCAGCGGGGGACCTGACCTGAGCTCACTGGTGGCCTGGGAGAGCCGGCGCTACCGGGACCTGCTGCTGTGGGACTTCCTGGATGTCCCATACAACCGGACGCTCAAAGACCTGCAGCTGTTCGCCTGGCTGGGCCACCACTGCCCGGATGTCAGTTTTGTCCTGCAAGTTCAGGATGATGCTTTTGTACACATCCCCGCCCTGCTGGAACACCTGCAGTCCCTGCCACCTACCTGGGCCCAAAGTCTCTACCTGGGTGAGGTCTTCACCAAAGCCAACCCCCTCCGGAATGCAGGAAAACCCTTCTATGTGCCAGAGTCCTTCTACCAAGGCAGCTACCCAGCCTACACGAGCGGGGGTGGCTACGTGATCGCGGGGCGCCTGGCTCCCTGGCTGTTGCAGGCGGCAGGCCGTGTGGCACCCTTCCCCTTCGATGATGTCTACACTGGCCTTTGCTTCCGTGCTCTGGGCCTGGTGCCCCGGGCCCACCCAGGCTTCCGCACAGCCTGGCCAGCAGGCCATGGTGTGAGCCCCTGCACACTCCAAGGCCTGCTGCTCGTGCAGCCCCTCAGCCCCCAAACCAGCATCCAGCTGTGGAGGCAGCTGCAGGACCCCCAGTTCCAGTGCTGAAGCCCCAGGTGTGAGGCCAAGCTCCGGAACTGGGAGAATACAGATGGTGTGGGAGCCCTCCCCCACCTCCCCTGGATCCCCTCTGGACAGTAACTTGGCAGTTTTGTTTGTTTGGTCTGTCCTGGGGCTTGAACTCTGCTTGGGTACTGTCCCTGAACTCATCAGCTCAAGGCAAGCGCTCTACCCCTTGAGCCTCAGCACCACTTCCAGTTTTCTAGTGGTTCATTGGAGATAAGTCTCATGGACTTTCCTGCCTGGGCTGGCTTTGAACCGTGATCCTCAGAGCTCAGCCTCCTGAGTAGCCAGGATTACAGGTGTCAGCCACCGGCGTCCATCTCAGGTGGTTTGTCTACTTTCTTGTCTTTGAAAAATGCACTCCCCACTCTAAGGCCTGGAGTTGTTTTTGTGTGTGTGTGTGTGACTCCCCCCAACGCCATCCCCACCGAGTGGAATGAGGCTCAGCTGAGTTCTGACCCTCACGACCAGACTCCCCTTCCTTGCTGGGCATGTCTGGTGGGCGTCCTGGACACGGCCAGGCTTGTGTCAGTCCATGGGAGGAGAGCAGGTGGCAGTCTCCACCCCCTTCATGGGCCAGGCCGACCCTCCAGCTTGGCTTGTGCAAGCTTCCAGGGGAAGCAGATGTGGAAGAGCCTTTGGTTTAATCTCTAAAAGCAGAAGCCCAGGGTGTGCCACGCCAACCATGCTGGATTCACCCCTGTGCCCCAACTCCAGGAAAGCAGGGACCAGAGCAGGCAGAGAACCAACTGTTGTCAGTTTATTCAATCTGCTGACCAGCTCTCACCAGGCAAGCTCCAGAGCTGTGCCCGAGGCCAGCCCTGATAAACAGGGGCTTCCGGGCCAAGGCCCTGGCCCGGCCCCTGGGGAAGGCACTGTAACAGGCTAGCCTAGGAACCGCTGCAAACACTGCCCCCAAGTGGCCCAGCCTGGAAGAGCAGGGATGAGACAGGCTGCAGAGGCGGTGTTTGGCTGGCTGGGGGCCTCCCCACTGAGTCCGTTGGGGGGGGCTGGCCAGCCCTCCCCACTGTGCACAGGAGGCCTCACTTGTCAAAGTGGTCCAGTGGGTAATGCTCCCCATAGGCCTGCAGGTGCCGGGCCAGGGCCTCCTGCTGCTTGCGGAGCCTGGCGGGCATCTCCTGGTACACGTCGGAGAAGAGCAGGTTGGGGTTGGGCTTCAGCTTCCGCTCTGCCTGCTCGAAGGCCTCCATCACCTGGGGGACATGAGAGGGTGGGAGGCTGCGGCCCCCCCACAGCCTGGCCTCCCTAAGGGACCTTAGCCAGGGGACAACCAACACGCCCCATCCCAGCAGGCATCAGGCAGATCCTTGCAGGCCGGCTTGGCAGGAGCCTGGCACTGTACTAGTGCAGGGATCTGTAGTCTCTCAGTGGTGGGCTCAGGGGCACAGGATGGAAGGGACGTATCTAGGATGATGTCCTCGGGGTGTGGCCAGGACGCAGGGCCCTTGCCTGACCCCAGGCCTGCCCTCACCATGGGAGTGCCACCCCGGCTCCAATCTCAGCTGAGGTGGGCATCTGCTGGCCTCTGGGTGGGGAGTCTCACCACACGTGGATCAAGGCACCCAATTCTCCCACTTCTCAAGTGGGTGCCCCGGGACCCTCCTCAAAGATGAAGGGACTGTGAGGACATGGCTGGCTGCACTGTCCACCCTCAGGACGGACAGCATCGTGCCCGGGTGCCCAGAGGCTGGCCCTCACCTTCTTGCGCGACTGCTTCCGCCAGGCCCGCTCCTGCTCCTCGTCCCACCAGCCGCGGCTGAGCAGATGGTGCCTCAGCCTGGAGATGGGGTGGTCCTGCTTGTCCCAGTAGTTCACCTCGTCCACGGAGCGGTACGCCGAGCTGTCGTCACTTGTACTGTGGTGGCCGATCCTGCCACAGAGGGGCTGAGTCAGGAGGGGTCTCCCAGAGCGGGGAGGCAGGCCACAGATGTCACAGGGTGATGGCCATGTTTTGGGGACAGCGACAAGGGGTTGGAGGGGGAGCGGGAGGAAGGCAGGCACCTGTAGGTCATGGCCTCGATGAGGAAGGGCTGGTTCTCGGCCACAGCTCGTCGCCGGGCCTCTTTGGTGGCATTGTACACGGCGAACACATCGTTGCCGTCCACGCGGATGGACATGATGCCGTAGCCGGGGCCTCGTGCCGCTGTGGGGACAGGAGGAAGGTCCATCGGGCCCAGGGCTCAGATGAGGAAAATGCGGGGGGACGGGAGGGCCCCCAAGCAAAGAGGGGGGCAGGAAGGCAGAGGGAGGGAGAAAGGGAAGGAAGAGAGCCAGACAGGCTCCCTCACCAACTCCTGTGCCTTCCCTGGTACCAGATATCACAGGAAGAGAGCAAGGTAGGAATGGGGTGCTGGGGGGGGGGCGGGGCCCTTACCGATGCCATCCCCCCGGTACTGCTCGGAGGTGGGTGTGGAGATGGCGTAGCCGTTGTTCCGGCAGAAGAAGATGATGGGGCACTCGAGGGTGGCGGCGAAGTTGAAGCCGGCGTGGGCATCGCCCTCGCTGGCCGCCCCCTCTCCAAAGTAACAGATGACCACCTGGTTGGCGTTGGCCCGCTTGGCCGCATAGGCCGCTCCCACAGCTGCCCGGGAAGAAGAGGGCTGTGAGCTGAGAGACCCCAACCACAGCCCACTGCTGCCGCAACCTGCCCCCCCCCAGGGCTCCGCTCAGGTGGTCACTCTGGGAGGGCCCACCCAACACCAGAAGGGGCCAGTGAGGGGGTCCAATCCCTGAGTGGTCCTCTTTCTATAGACGGTGGTGAGGGGACCTAGGCTGAGCTCTGGGGACTCAGGTGACAAGGCCTACTGCTCTCCACCTGCTCCTCCCCTCTGACTTCCCGTCTGCTCTTTGTAGTGGGGACAAGGGCTCATAATGGCTTTTACCTTCTGATCAAGGACAGTGAGGGGAAGGGGACCAGAGTCTGGGAAATCCCAGAGTGGGGTCACGCTAGCCCCAGGGGGACACAGCCTCCCAGGGCCTGGGCCAGGCTCTGAAGGCTGGGCCCATGGTGAGGGGTGTGTGGCAGGTCAGGACCTTGAGGGATCTGCGTGGCCAGTGGAGAGGATATAGTGACAAAGTGGCGCTCCTTGCAGCCATAGTGCACGGGCATCTGGCGCCCCTTGCCGGGGTCGCTCATGTTGCCGTAGCACTGAGCCATGAAGAGTTCCAGGGGGTACTCGCGGTACATCAGCACACCTAGGACGAGGAGGCAGCTGTGAGGGGGTGGAAGTAAACACCCAATCTGTGGGTTACCCAGGGCCAGCCTCTCGCTCCCCACAGTGCCTGATTCCCAATGTGGACACAGAAAGGGGTATGGTGGTGGATGCCTGTAATCCCAGCACTCAGGAGGCTGAAGTAGGAGGATCGCAAGACCCAGGCCAGCCTTGGTCTCAAATACACAATGATAGGTAGACAAAGTAAAAGGTTCCCGGAAATCAGCAAGTGCCACAGACAGGACTCAGTGAGCAGGCCTTCTAGAAAGCCTGGGCCTGTTCTAAGGATCAGACTAGACAGTCCAGTTTGTGAAGAGGTGGCAGAAATCCACCTTTTCTGTTCTGTTGATGGTACAAGATATGAAATGCAGGGCCCCAGGCATGCTAGATAAGGGCCTCACCACTGAGCCACACCCTAGTCCAAGACTCGCCCCCCCTCCCTCCCTCCCTCTCTCCCGCCCAGCACAGGAAACTTTTTAAAGAGTTCCAAGTAATATGGTTCCTGCCAGTATAGCCACTAATTCACACCTGTCCACCACAGTCCAGCAGTAAAGGCCTTTCTGCAAACAAAAGCCCTGGTGGACGCCCAGCTGCCATAAAAGGCACAGCTCCTGACTAAGCGGCCCTGAGCTGCGCCTGCGTCGCTGGCTTGGTGTCCTGCCTCCAATTGTGGGTGTTTAGCTTCACCCCAGCCTCCACTCAGGCCACTGCACTGGGTGGACCACACACGCCACACGCCCAGCTGAGACACGGTCCCTTCCCTCCCTGGCCTTCAGGGGAGGGGAGGGGTGGCCCACGCCTCCTCTGGCTTCGTGGACTTCCATGGGAGAGCACTTGTGGGGAAGATGTGTAGGCCCCAGAGGGAACCCCAGGGCTGAGCCATGGGCAGACGTACCTGCCTCCCGGTACTGGCCAAACACCAGGTCTGTGCTGTCCAGGGCAGCGGCACTCCCCACGTGGGTCCCCTCCTCGCCGTAGTTGGTCATGTAGAAGGAGATCCGGCCCTGGGGGTGGCAAGACCCGGACGTGGAGGTTACACGGGGCAGTAACAGAACTGTGTGACCCTGTCCACTGACAGCACGCCCTAATCCAGCCGCCTCCCTGCTGCTGATGGCCCTCAGAGGGGCAGTGAGGTCACCCTGGTATTTCACAAGTCTCTCAGCAGGTGGTGGCAGTGAGCCAGGAGAGGAGGCGGTGGCCTGGCAGCCAGGGAGGGGCAGAGGGGTGAGTCTTCAAAAGCTGTTAGTGGTGATGGAGAGGACCACCCAGGTGCCCGGCCAGCTCCCAAGGCCTGCCGAGGACACTGGTGTTCTCGGTCTCCGTGGCAGCCCGACGTGGGTCAGTGTTGGCCAGAGGCTGCCGAGGAAGTCTGCCTTTGCCTTCCGGACAGCAGAAGAAGCCTCTGCTGGCACCATCTCTGCCTCGACCTCCTTCTACCTTGCGCAGAGCCATGATGTTCAACCCGTGGCAGCCATTCTGTGAGCATGAGGCAACATGCCCAGGTACTAACACACCAAAAGGGTAAAGCAGAGACAGAGGCTGGGTGCCTGGCAGGGCTGCTAAACCACTGAATACTTCTAAGGCAGCACCTGGAAGTGGAGAGTGAAAGGAGAACAGGGAGGCCAGGGGAAGGTGGGAAAGATAAAATGCAGGGTCCCAGGTTGCAGAGGGGGCCTCTGAGACCTACACCACAGGAGGACACGGGGAAGGCAAGTCTGCAAGCCTGAGCCTGCTGTGAAGCACTGAAGAGAGATGCCAACTAGGTCCAGGGCTCCGAGAAGTCTGGCTCAGAGCTGCAGAGCTCCTGGCATGTGCTCTCCTCCACATGCTATATATGTGGGCCTGGTTTTTGGAGCTGCTGAACAAGTGCTTTCTTGCTTTTTTTTTTGTTGGTTATGGGGCTTGAACTCGGGGCCTGGACACTGTCCCTGAGCCCTTTTGTTCAAGGCTAGTGCTCTACCACGTTGAGCCACAGCACCACTTCAGGTTTTTGAGTGATTCATTGGCGATAACAGTCTCAGGGGACTTTTTTTGTCCAGACTGGCTTTGAATGTCTATCCTCAGCCTCCTGTGTAGCTGGGATGACAGGCGTGAGCCACCAGCGCTTTCTTCTAAGCCGGGTGCCACTGGCTTATACCTGTCATCCTAACTATTCAGGAGGCTGAGATGTGAGGATCAAGGTTGAAAGCCAGCCTAGGCAGAAATTAATTCCCCCCCCCCGCAAAAAAAAGGCCAGAAATGGAGGTGTGGCTCAAGTAGTAGAGCACCAGCCTTGAACAAGAAAGCTAAGGGACAGTGCCTACGTCCTGAGTTCAAGTTTTACTATCAGTATGAAAACATTTTCAAAATAAACCAAACCAAGGTGGCCAACACATGCAGAAAGAAAAGGACCAAGAACTAGCGGCTCTCACCTGTAATCCTACTCAGGAGGCTGAAATCCAGAAGACTGCGGCCGGCCTGGGCCTTGTCCCTCTGCCCTCTCCTAACACAGGGTGCCGAGCTAGGCACACAGTATGTGTTTTTAGTGACTAAGTCCATCCTTCTGTCCTTGGGCTGGACAACCCCCCACCCTATTCTTCTTCTGGAGCCTCAAAATCCCCATGGCCAGAGGATCTCCATCCTCTTACTCCCGGGAGGGGCCCTCTGGTCGCACATGTGCAGGCACACAACCCCAAGCATGTGTGTGCTAGAGTGCACGCGCAGACACGTGCACGTGCACGCGCGCGCACACACACGCATGCGCACACACACACACACGCACGCGCACACACACACACACACGCACACACACACACCTGCCGCTGGGACTCATAAAGGATTCGGTCCATGGTGTTGAGCAGCGTCATGCTCCTGTAGAACTTGAGTACCTCCTCCTGGGGCAGCTGTGAAGACGCACAGGCAGACAGGGGAAGTCAGGACTAGAGGGGATGTGGGCAAGGGGCTTGGGAGTGGGGGGGTGGAGCAGGGAGCAGCCTCACATGGGGGTCCTCGCTGGGGTTGATGATTTGGCCCTGGCGGTCCATGACGCGGTAGATGGGGATTCCGGAGATGACATTGGGCTGGATGAAGTCCAGTTTGTCTACGAACTCGGCGGAGGCCCCCGGAAACTGGGGCTTGTCATCCAGGGATGAGAACTGCTGCTGCTGCCTGCAGGGGTGCTGGGGGAAAGGGGCCAGTGTTAGGGGCAGTAGCAGGCTCCACATCACTCGGCCCTGGTGGCCTGGACTCTGGGGGGGGGGGGGTTGTGGGTGTGCGCTCACGCGCATGCTGTGGTTTGAACTCAGAGCCTTGCTCTTACCAGAGCACTTGAACCAAACCCCCAGTCCTTTTTGCTTTCCTGATTTTCTTCAAGTGGGCCTGGACTATGATCCTATTATATTTCCTATATAGCTGAGATGATAGGTGTGAACCCCTACACCCAACTTTTTATTAGTGGAGCTTGTTGCCTGGGCTAACGTTAAACTGCCATATTGCTGCCTCCACTTCTCGAGCTGCTGGGATTACAGGCATTTGCCAACACATGGGACCTTTAACACATTCATATGGTGACACCTTTGGCAAGTTATTACAGTGTGTGTCTCAGTTTCCTCATCTGTAAGATCAGAACACAAACAGTAACAGCTAGAAACAGCAGAGCACTCACTCTGCAAGCCTGGGCCCTGGCTGTAAGCCCCAGCATCAGGAAGAACAAACAAAAAATACACACCCCACATAGAGCTCTTAAAGAGAGTCCCCAGGCCCATACTCTTCATTGTAACATCCACGATCTCCCCAGGCTGGCCATAAATACTTCTCCATCTCCCACTTCTAAGGCTGGCACTCATTCCCACCTAGTTTCCCTACTAACCCCAATACCACACACTAAGGAGACCACCCAGAAGAGAACTTAGCTCTTTTGTTTTTTTTAGGTCCGGTCGTGGGGCCTGAACTCTGGGCCTGGGCGCTGTCCCTCAGCTCTTCAGCTCAAGGCTAGCACTCTACCACTTGAGCCACAGCGCCACTTCCGGTTTTCTGGTGGTTTATTGGAGATAGGAGTCTCACGGTCTCTCCTGCCCGGGCTGGCTTTGAACCGCGATCCTCAGATCTCAGCCTCCTGAGTAGCTGGGTTTAAATCTTTTTTCATGTGTTCCCTGCCTTCAAAACGGAGATCACTTGGTGAAAATATTATGAGGTTTAAAGACTGTGTATGTAAAATATTCAGCAGAATGTCTGCAAGACATAGGGTCAGTGTCTGGAAGACATAGAGTCAATGCAGAAAAGATGCTGGCTGGGAATTCTACCATACCTCCACTCTCTTCTCCCTGCCTCTTTCTCTCCTCTCCCTTTCCTTCCCGCCCTTCCCCTGTTCTCCAGAGACCTCCTTTCCCACAGCCTGGCAAACCTTTCCATAAGCTTCTGACCCCTCTCCGCCAGCTCTGGCTCCTACAGTAAGATCCACCAGCCTACTCAACAAATATTTGAGCCCCTGCTCTGTTCCTAGCCCTGTGCAAGGTTTCAGGGAGGAGAGCAGGGGCTGGGCGTGCAAAGAGGTGGTGATTCCAGCCCTCCCACAGGAGAGGCCGAGAAGGCTCTTCTGAGGAGGTGATTTGGGCCACACAGGACACAAGAAGCCCAGGAGGAACATTCTGGGCAAGGGGGAACATTATATGCAAAGGCCAAGGAGCGAAGAACGTGGGGAGCAGAAGGTGTGCAGTGGGGAGGAGTCCTGTGGTGCACCACACCTCACCAGGTCACGAAAGGGTACCATGCTCTCTCCCCCACCCCATGGAGGCCTGATGCCCAGGGGTTTCTCGGTCTCTGCTGATCTTTTTTTTTTGGCCAATCGTGGGGCTTGAACTCAGGGCCTGAGCATTGTCCCTGAGCTTTTGTACTCAAAGATAGCACTCTATTACTTGAGCCACAGCTCCACTTCTTTTTGGTGGTTCACTGGAGCTAAGAGCCTCACAGACTTTCCTGCAAGGCTGGTTTCAAACCATGATCCTCAGAGTTCAGCTTCCTGAGTAGCGAAGATGACCAATGCTCAGCTTCTGCTGATCTCTTTTACAGATTTACTGCACAATTAAGCCAACTAGGAATGCACAAACCTCCCTGCAAACAGCCCAGGTCCCAAGAGACAAGAGAACTGGGGGCTTGCCAGAAACAATGTCTACAACAAAAACCAGACACAAGTCACTTGAATCACCACAGACACGCTGATTGTGCCGCTCACTGCACTGCAACTCCTGCTGGTTCACCTACATGAGATAAGATGGCCACAGCCCACATTCCAAAAGAGGCTATTTTTCAAAACACTGGACCACGGAGGCACCCACCTATCTGGGACCCACATACCTCCCCTGATATGAACCCTGGAAAGCTGGAGGAAATGACTCTCCCCTAGGGCAGAAGGGAGAAGCACCGAAGGAAGAGACAGCCTGATAGCCAGCAATGCTGTTTTAGTGCTAACGAAGCTCTTTCTCCATCACTCAGCCTCCTGACTGCCTGGTCATCGAGCAGCATGGAGAACTTTGGCTGTTACAATCAGAGAACGGCTACCGCTTTAGCAGGATCAATGAGATGGGTGCCAGGCTGTGCTTTGCATATCCCGCCCACGTTCTCAGGGCATTAGGATGACTTGCCATTGTGGAGAGGAAAATGAGAGCCAGGGAAATACAAAATGGCTGACACCAGGTCTCAACCTTTGTGGGTGAGAGGTTAGGTGGGGGAGGGGGGTGGAATCTACATCACACCTTCCAACCTGGCAGGGCTGATTCAGACCCCCACACCCAAGCTTTGGCTGGGCACAGGGGCACTTGTCTGTCATCTGAGCTACTTGAGAGTCAGAGATGGCAGGAGTAAAGTTCAAAGCCAATGGTACAACAATAACAAAGTTAATGAGACATCATTTCAGAAAACAAGCTGCATGTAACATATACATCTGTAATCTCAGCGATGCTTGAGGTTCAAGTAGGAGGACCACAGTCCAAGGCAGATCCTGGGCAAAAAACAAGAAAATGTTATCTAAAAAAAA